AAAATGGAGATGTTACTGGGACCGCTCGAGCAAATCGATGAACAATGGGAGGACAGTGTTTTTTTTGTTTGTTTTGTTATATCGGAGAGCCCGGCAAGCTACCGCGAGTATTCGATATGCCAGACACAGTAACAACAAAGTCTCCAATGGAGACGTTACTGGGCCCGCTCGAGCAAATCGACGATCAACGGGAGGGTTATATCTTGAGATATGTTTGTCCTAAGACAATGAAGTCAATTTGGGGGTATGGGTGCGATTTTGGATTGTGGGAGTAAGAGGCTGCCGGGGGTTCTTCTTGGGTGGGACCCAGGCTGACCCACCCCTCTCCCTTTCTGGTCTGTTCAGCCTTGATCAGGTCCGAGATTAACTGTGGCTTTTGATCTCTTTTGAGATGTATTACGGGTCTCTGAAACAAGTCTGAAAAATGAGCTTTTAAGTTAGCTGAACCAGAGGTGGTTTGTGGGTGTGACTCCCATATACCTAACTTTGGGCTGTTTAATTTCTCAGAAAATTTGACCCCAGGTTATTGGTGTCTGGCCAGAGGCAGAGGTATCAGGAATAATAATTTTAGGTATCAGGAAGCCTGAAGGCTCTATCACGCTGCTGATGCACTCACCTGGCAGGTACAGTTGACCTGCTGGAGGCACTCTTCTGTTTCTTTAATAGCAACTTACAGCATTTGATGTATAAGACTTTCACCTCTTTTGCTAATTTCTACTTATATTTTTGTAGGACACAATTGTAAATGAAAAAATATTTAAATTTCTTTCTCTTGTATATTGTTGTGTATAAAAATGCATATTGTAGGGGCTGGAGCAATAGATAGCACAATGGGTAGGGCGTTTGCCTTGCATGCGACTGACCCAAGTTCAATTCCCAGCATCGCATATGGTCCCCTGAACATCCCCAGGAGTAGTTCCTGAGTGCAGAGCCAGGAGTAACCCCTGTGCATCGCCAGATGTGACCCAAAAAGTACAAAAAAAAAAGAAATGCATATTGTAATCTGCACATAGTAGCGTATTTCTCCCCAACTTGACCCTTCAGTTGTATTTTCTTGCCTAATTTTGTGTTGACGACCTTCAGTACAGTTTTGAATAATTACAGTGAGAGTGGAATTTTTTGCCTTGTGTCTATATTAAAGGTGAACCTTTCAGCTTTATGCCATTTAATATGATGTTAGCTGTGGGTTAGTGGCCTTTACTATATTGAGGTCTCTTCTTTCTATTTTCATTTTGCTGGACATTTTAATCATAAACGGGGTGTGAAATCTTGTCAAAAGCTTTTTCTATGTCTATTGATATGATTATATGAACTGTATCTTTCTTTTTGTTTATGTGAAAAATCACATTTATTGATTTTCATTTATTGGACCACTGTTGTATCTCTGGAATAAATATGCTCTTGGTGTATTACCCTTTTAATGTGATATTGAATTTGGTTTGCTGATATTTTGTTGAGGATCTTTGTTCATTGGGGATCTTGGTCAGTAATTTTCTTTTTAAGTGCTGTCTCTCTTCACTTTTTGTATCAGGGTAATGTTACTCTCATAGAAATTGGAATGATTCCTGTTTGTTTTCTTTTCTGGAATGGCTTGAGAAGCATAGAGAATATATTATCTTTGAAGATTTGGTGTAGATCACTAGTGTTTGGACCAAGACTTTTGTTTTGCTGTACCTTTTATTGCTGTTAAAATTACATTATTAGTAAGTGGTCTGTTTTGGGTTTTGTTGTTTGTTGTTTTTTGTTTGGGGGCAGCTACACCTGGTGATGCTCAGGGCTTACTCTTGGCTCTGCACTGAGGGATTATTCCTGGCGGGACTTGAGGGGTGGGGGCGGGGTTGTCATATGGGGTGCTGGGGTTGCCCCGTGCAAGGCAAGGGTCCTACCTGCTGTACTAGCTCTCTAGCCCTGGACTGTTCAGGTTTTTAATTTCTTCTGGATTCAGTATTGGAAATTGTATGAGCCAAAAAATTTACCTATTTACTCTTGGTTCTCCAATAAATTTAAAAAATATAGTAATCTCTTCTGAGTGTTTGAACCTCTGAGATATCTTCTCCCTTTTTATTTCTGATCCAGTTTATTCATTCCTCTTTTTTCCCCTTTTGAAACTATTTATTAATGCTGATTATTCTTTAAAAAGCAACCCTTGGATTCATTAATTTTTTCCACACAGCTTATTTCCACTTTAATTTGTATTATTTCCTTCCTTCTATTTACTCTGAGTTCTAATTGTTCTTTTTCTAGTTCTTTCAACTGTGAGGTTATGTTATTTATTTGAGCCTTTTTTGTTCCCCAATACAAACCTGTATTTTTTTCTTTTTTTCTTTTTTGGGTCACACCTGGCGATGCACAGGGCTTACTCCTGGCTTTGCACTCAGGAATTACTTCTGGTGGTTCTCAGGGAACCATATGGGATGCTGGGACTCGAACCCGGGTCAGCTGTGTGCAAGGCAAATGCCCTACCCACTGTACTCCAGCCCCAATATAAACCTGTATTGCTGTGAATTTCCCTCCTAGTACTGCTTTTGCTGTGTCCCATAGGTTCTAATAAATCACGCCTTCATTCTCATTTATTTCCAAGAATCTTTTTATCTCTTCCTTAAATTCCTTTTTGAACTAAAGGTAGTTCAGTAGTAGTCCCTTTACTCTCCAAACCATGTAGAATTTTCTCTTCTTCCTTCCTTTCTTCCTTCCTTCCTTCTTTCCTTCCTTCCTTCCTTCCTTCCTTCCTTCCTTCCTTCCTTCCTTCCTTCCCTCCTTCCATCCCTCCTTCCCTCCCTCCCTTTTTTTTGGGAGCCACTTCTGGTGGTGCTCAGGGTTTATTTTTGGCTCTGTGCTCAGGAATCATTCCTGGCAGGCTCAGGGGGACAGATGAGATGGGGCTCAAAACTAGGCCAACCACGTGAAGACCAAGTGCCCTCTCCACTTTACTTTCTCTCTGGTCCTTTTCTTCAGATTTCTTTTTTTAAAAAATGGCTAATTCATAGCATTGTGATATGAAAAGATACCTGATAGGATTTCAGTCTTTAAAATTACTGAAACATGGCAAGTACCAAAGAGAGGAAGACTCCTGAAAGCAAATATGCTTTGGATTTCGTATTTCTATATCCTTTGGATGAGTACCTTGTTAGAGAGTAGCATTGTTAGATAATATGGTATTTGCATTCTCCACTTTAAAATGAATCGTCATACTATAGAGGTGGCACCAGCTTACCTTCTTACCAACAAGTAGAATTCCTTTTTCTTTTCATCTTCTCCAAAACAAAATTTCCTTTTTCTTTCTATTTTTCTTCTCTTTTTTTCATGTAATAGGCTATTCTCCCCAGTGTGAAATCGTATCTCATTGTGGTTTTGACTTATGTTTTCTTAATATTCGGTGATGTTGAGCATTTTCTTCATATGTATGTGGGCCCTCTCTGTATCTTATTTCTTGAGAAATGTCTGTTCCCTTTCATTTTGTATTGTATTTTGCCTTTTTATTTCATAGTGTTTGGTTTTCTTCTCTCATAGAGTTGTATTCCTTTTTGTAAAGTTCTTTTGAATATTAACTTCTTACCAGATGTATGACATGCAAATATCTTCTCTCAATTGCTATATTATTTTTATGTGGTGTATACTTTGTAAAATATTTTTAATTTGATGTAATTTCATTTGTTCATTATTGTTTTTTATTTCATTTCCATTTGAGTTGAATAAACTCATCTCTTCTATGAGGTTCTAACCTCTATCACCTTTGTTTATTTCAGTATATTTTATGGTTTGGGGACAAATGTCTATATTTAATCTATTTTGAGTTAGTTTTTAGGAATAGCATTGGAGATATAATAGTTCCTTGTTTTCTGTGGCAGTAGTTTCATTCCTATAGAAGTAGTCTAGTTTTCCCAGTACTGTTTGTTGAAATGACTCAGTCCCACTTCATTATATGATCTTTACTCCTTTATCATAGATTACATATACATAAATCTGTGGTTTTATTTCTGGTTTTTCTTTTCTATCTCATTGATTTATTTACCAGTTCTCTTCCAATACCGTACTCTTTTATTTATTCATTTATTTTTTGTTTATTTATTTTTTATTAGTGAAACACCATGAGGTACAGTTGTAGATTTACAATTTTTTGTGCTTGGGTTTCGATTATACAATGATCAAATACCCATCCCTCCACCAGTGCCCATTTTCCACCACCATGGATAATATCCCTCCCACCCCCATCCCTCCCATCCCACCCTGCCTCTGTGGCAGGCAAATTCCTTGTGTTCTCTCTCTCCTTTTGGGTGTTGTGGTCTGCAAAAGAGGCTTTGAGTGGCAAACATATTCAGTCCCTAGTCTACTTTCAACATGCATCTCCTGGGAGGATCCTCCAAACACCCTTTATTTGGTGCTCCCTTCTCTATCTGAGCTGCTCTTTCCCCTAGAATGCCCGGCTGGCCTCTAAGCTATGGAGTAATCCTCCTGGTGCTGATCTCAACTATTCTTGGAATACCGTACTCTTTTAATCACTGTTGCTTTGTAGTATAGTTTGAAGTCAGAGAGCCTGGCACTTCCCTTTTTTTTGAAAGCAGTAATTTTTATTCTAACATTCAGAGCAAACTCAGATGCTAGTCAAGTCTAGGTATTCATATTTTTAGTCATAGGTCATTTGTGGTTTGACTCTAAAAAATAAAACTAATGTCACTGTGTCTCACTCTTGGTTTTGTGTGTGGTATATTCCATCCCTTTAACTTGTGTTTGCAGGGAAACCTCAGACCCTCAGATTTTCTCTAACCTGTCGCCCCTCAGTTTTACAGTCTCTCAATGACTGAGTCACAGAATTGTATCACTTATTACTTACCACTGGGGGCTATTACTTTTTTTTAATTATTTTAAATTTACATAGAATTCCTTTTCTTGCTTGTGAAAATGTTTTCAATCAGAGTCCCAGTGGAAAACAGAATACTATTCAGAATACTAAGGCAAAGAGATTCTAATTGAATTATTTTATTTTTATTTTGTGTTTTGTTTTTGATCATCAGTACTTATAAGACCAGACCTAAATCAGTAGAAGAACTAGAACTAGGGACATAGATGTGGTGTTATCGTAGTGAATGTTTAGCTTTCCCTTATTATTACCAAATCAGAACAGAGAGAAGATTTGCAGTAAGTGAAAGAACTTTTAACAAAAGCATGTGCAGATACAAAAAAGGAAAATCCAACTACATCATTTTAGGGTTTTCAAGACTTGTTAACGTCCCAGTCCTGAAGCCCCAAGGGAGGAATATTATTCCTGGAGCCTAGAGACAGCAAGGGCTAAGGAGGAGGGATCACCTGGTGGGAGGTGCGTTCTGGGTAATTAGCCACTGCCGGAAGGAAGAGCTTCGACAGGGAGGAAGTGGGAAGTGGTCCCATCTCCTCTCCTCTCTCCTGCTCATCTGACAGGTGCCTTCCAGCAGCCCTTGGGGAAGCCAAGCAGTGGACTTCAGAGGGCACCTAAGGAAAAATCCAGAATGGATTTGGGGGTGGGTAGGAATATGCAAATAGAGAATAAATTTATCAGGGCTCCAGTGGTACTTTTATATTTTTTTTCTTTTTGGGTCACACCTGGTGATGCACAGGAGTTACTCTTGGCTCTGCACTCAGAAATTACTCCTGGTGGTAGCTCAGGGAACCATATGGGATGCTGGGAATTGAACCTGGGTCGGCCACATGCAAGGCAAACACCCTACCTGCAGTGCTATCGCTCCAGTCCCCTCAGTGGTACTTTTGTAGAAAGTAGTTGTTAAATTCGTCCAGTTTAATTTTTTGAAATTCAACTTTTCCTTTGCATATCATTTTATTTTATTAAAGAACTGAAATTTATAAAGTTATTGGTAGTTGGGTTTTAGGCAAATAATATTTTCAACACCAGTCCCACCACTAGTGTCAACTTCCCTCCACCAGTGTTCCCAGATTCCCGTCCCACCCCAAGCCCCGCCCCATCAGACAGGCACATTACAAAGTTCCCGTGCTTGCCACTTAGATCTCGTGTTTTCAGTGTTGCTGAGTCTGTGCTTGGGTCCTATGACTCTACCCCTCACTCATCTCACCAGTATAACTGGCACCCTGATTCCTGCACACCCATGACTTTCCTTTCTCTTCTTCCCTTGATTTCTGTCCTTCCCAATCCTCCTCTCTAAACACTGGTGTTAAGGGTGATCTAGGCATCCCCCTTTTTACTACAGTACATTTCCCCTTTCATTCAGTGTTCTATATACTACAGATAAGTGAGATCATCCTGGCTTTGTCTTCCTTCTTCTGGCTTCTCACAACATGATTTCTTCCAGTTCTAACCATGTGGCAGCAGACTGCATGATGTCATCATTCTTGCAGCTGCATAGTATACATACCACATCTCACAGACAGTATTTTTTAAACATTTTTATTAGTGAGACACCATAAGGTACAGTTGTAGACTTACAAATTTTGTGCTTGGGTTTCATTTATACAGTGATCAAATACCCATCCCTCCACCAGTGCCCATTTTTTTCCCCCAACCTGTCAGCTACGGAGGAACTAGGACTAAGGCTAAAGGTGCTCCTTCTTTATTGCAGTGAACTGAAATTTTTCAGCAAATGCAGTTACCTTGCCTTGCTAATGCAGAAGTCAAGACAGGCCGTCTACCGCCTCTTCCCCACTCTCTGCTCCTTTCCCTCTACCCATGGCACAGCCTGGAGCAAGAGTGCCCGTGGCTGCCTAAGTCCTGATGTCTCTGTCCATGAAAATTGTGATTCAAGTGGGTTGAAGCAATAGTACAGTAGGTAGAACCTTTGCCTTGCATGAGTCCAACCTGGGTTTGCTTCCTGTTGCCCCATATGGGCTTCCACACCCAACGGGAGTGATCCCTGAGCACTGCTGGGTGTGACTCCCCCCCCCCCCATGTTAAAAATTAAGGCAAACTTTTCAATCCAGTGTGTTTTGTTCCCCCTCTGAGACCAAGGCACTGTAGTCAAGCCCTAGGGGACCAAGTCTAGATTTGTGCCCTGTAGCTTGGAGGGGTCTCGGGGGGCATCATTGGTGCATGGGCATGCCAGGCACGTGCCCAGCTTTGCTCTTCCTGGGGGGCACGGGAAACCTCAGACAGAATTGAGTGGACGGCCAATCCTGACCTGAGCTTCGTGCCATCTTCACTCCTTGGCATGACCTCAGGAAGAGCCTGCACAGCCCTGCAGGTGGGCAGAGGGCTGTTCATTGAGACACCCCAGGTGGGGAGAGGGTCTAAGCCAGGGGTGGGCACATCTCCTTGGGCCTGCAGATACCTAGTTCAGGGCTGGGGCCCCTTCCTCCCTGTCCAGTCCTGAGCATGTGGCCCAAAGACCTCTCAGCAAGTGCCCAGAATTTCCCTGCCCCCTTGTTTTTCCATCACTCCCGCCAGGGACTGTGCAACATTCCCAACTGCTTCCTGCTTTCCCCTCAGCTTGTCAAGCACTGGCAACATTAACAGAATAGCAGCACACACAGGTGCTGTCCCTGGACCTCTGTGCCACCAGGTAGCCCTTCCCTGGTTTCTGCAGAAGCTCGTCAAGACCTGGGTCGCTGTGCCCTGACGTCTGCCCTGCCCTGGCCCGGCATTCTCTGCAAATGGCCTCACATCCCCTTTCTCTAGAGACTAGAAACTACCCAGCGACAGTCATTTGCCTCCTGCCCTAAGGACAGCCTTGCTACAGCCACAGGGTGGATGGAGGACAAGAGCTGGCCCTGCTCGGCCACTGAACCGCCTCCATGGCTCCCTGCCTCCTCTCTGCAGTCTCAGGTAGCTCCCTCCTCTACAGCCTTGGCTTCAGCATCCCCCGCTCCTTGCTCTGGACCTGATGATGCCTCCTGTCTGGTGGTCTAGGGCTCAGAGTTTATTTTGCTCTGTTTGGGGGCCATACCCAGTGCTGCTCAGGGCTTCTTCCTCTTGACTCTGAGCTCAGAGATCACTCCTGGCAGTGCTAGAGGACTGTACTGGAGGCCGGGGATCCACTCCAGGTTGGCTGTGTGCCGAGACAAGTGCCCTCCCTGCTGTGCTATTGCTCCAGGCCCAGAGCTCAGCGTCTCCCTGCCTTCCTGACTCTGCCTCTCATCCCCTGGGTACTTCTGATCCCCTGTGCTCTCCCTCCTGTCCCAGTGATTTTGTTGAAACACCGAGATCAGGTCCAGCTGGGGCCTCGCTGCTGTGAAGACCAGAGGACAAGTTAGTTCTGTTCTATGGTACAGCACACTTTGGTGGGGGGAGAGGGGGTCACCTTCCAGACGTGCACTTTCACCTGGCATCCTCACACTGCTGCCTGTGCTGATTTTTGGCCAACGCAACTGGTATCTCTGAAGGGCTACATCAGACTCAGACTTTGTGTACACATCAGGCCACTGGTATCCGCAAACGATGCTCAGATGTCTTTAGAAGTTTATGCCAGAGGGGCTGGAGCAATAGTACGATGGGTAGGGTGTTTGCCTTGCACGCGGCCGGCCCGGTTCGATACCCAGCATCCCATATGGTCCCCCAAGCACCTCCAGGAGTAATTCCTGAGTGCATGAGCCAGGAGTAACCCCTGTGCAACATCGGGTGTGACCCAAAAAGAAAAAAAAAGTTTATACCAGAAGGAATGAACTTTCTATGGGGAGGGGGGTACACATTTCCAATTAGAGATGATGTATTACTTACTGCAGCCGGAGTCCACTGAGGGGGGAACAGCCGTAATAGCTTATTTCAGAACTAATATGGCTATATGTTAGCGACAGAAATGATGTAGCTATCTTATTAGAAATACAACAGAGAGATTACTTAGCAGCTGTCTCCCCACACTGTCATTTTATTTTGCTCTGTGGTTCTTGGCAGAGAATCTAGAAAAGTGAAAAAAATAATAATTAAGCCACACTGTGTTCTCCTGGACAAAATGATTTCTCCTGTTCCAAGAAACAAATCTTACAAGGCAATGCATGCACCATGATGGTGGGAAGTCGAACCTTCTCTGGAAGTGTTTTTCTCTCAGACACTGTCTTTTCCCAGTCCCTCTTGTTGAGTTTTTCTTCACCCCATGTTCCTGACACAGAGCATGGACGTCCTCCAAGGGCCCACCATAAGCTCTCTCAGCTTCGCTTTGAAGCAAAGAATTCCACAGGGACCTATTCAGGACTTGCTTTTCATTGAGCTAAAGAGATGCCACGTGGAGCACTTTAATTTGCGCATTCTTTCATCATTCGTTGAACAAATAATTGTGTTAATGGCCACTTAAAGCCATCTTAGAATGGATATTATTTCACATGTGGAAAAATGCCAGACGAGAGAGAGAGAGAGAGAGAGAGAGAGAGAGAGAGAGAGAGAGAGAGAGAGAGAGAGAGAGACTTTCTGTGGGACTGCCACAGTTCCCCCACCCCTAAGCCTCCACACCTGGTTGGACTGTCACTCTGGCCCTTAGATCATTGATAATTACAAAAAAAAAAAGAAAAAATGTTCCTACCTGCTTGGTTTCACGCTGTGCATTTAACATCAGAGTCTCTATCAAACTGGCCCCAAGGGCTCATGGCACAAAAGCAGTTAAGAACTCTCTTCGCTGAAGGTGTCAGTCTTCATTTGGAAGGAGTGGGTTATCTATTCAGATCATCAGGAAGTATTTTGTAAAATCAAAGTGCCCCAAAATCTCAGGACCAGAGTAATAGGTGCTGTAATATTTATCACTAGCTTGATTCATTCATGCAATGCATAGGTAATGCGTGCTTCTGCATGCAATGCCCTGTGTGATGGAATCAAAGGTGAGGACTCAGTCCTTGCTAAAGCTGTGGTGAAACATTTCCAGTTACTAAACCAAGGCTTAGCCCTGTGGGTTTATGCCAGGACCATCTGTGGCAAAGAGTTTCCTTTTTCTTTTTCTTTCTTTTAAAAAAATTTTTTTTTATTGAATCACCAAGAGATACAGTTATGAAGCTTTCATGTTTGAGTTTCAGTCATACAGTGATCGAACACCCATCCCTCCACCAGTGCACATTCCCCACAACCAATGACCCCAGTATCCCTCCCCCATCCCAATTCTCCTAGTGCCCCAGTGGTAGATGATTTCCCCCATACTCTCTCTCTCTCTGCATTATGGTTTGTAGTATAGATACTGAGAGGCTAAGACGCTATCACGTTTTGTCCTTTATCTACTT